GGGCTCCTTTCATGTAGGCATCCATTTTCTTATCCCCTAGCACCCTTGCAACCACACTCATACGTTGCAAAGCAGAAGAAAATGGGAACTGGCGAACAATTCCTATCTCATAAATAGCCTATATAATTTCAAAAGATGCACAAAGCATTTATTATTCTTTAACAATAAAAACAAATGCATTTAGGTAACACATAAATGTTCTTCACTTACTGGAAGTTCAAACAGTTCCTAAAACCAAAAGAAAAGAGTACAGATTAAGCCAATCAATGTAGTCAAGTTAGAAAAAACTTTAATCATCCACAAACATTGGGAGAGTATCAAGGATCCCTCATTATTTGAAAGTCAAGACTTGATATTCCTTCTCTACTATTATGTTCTTGAAAATTTTCAAATATTCTAGTATCCTAGAAATATTAAAACATTAAATGCTACAAGGGAAAATTAAAAAAATCACTTAAAAATTTTTTTCATTAAGGCATTACTTAAATATTCTTTTCATGAAATTCTAGGTATACAGATGTAATTTTAAAGGATTAATGATCATGTACGTAAGTCATAAGACACTAAAAGCTGCTCACTATACAGGAAAGAAAAGTAATGGCATGAGAATTAAACCTCAACATTTTATAAAGAATGCACATAGCACACCAAAGGTATAGTTTGATAAATCAACTAAAACATAGATGTCTGCATAGGAGAAAGACATCTGACTCCCTCTTCTAGCAAGATTTCAAAATGACAATTAAACGTTAAGGATGCATCAATAGTACTATCCAGCATTAAGTAATTTCGCACCATTTCTTGGTTTCCTGCAGGTGTAGATTCAGGAAGCAGTTGTTTAGGAGGACGAACCACAGTGGGCATAATTCGATTATGAAGTGCTGTTTCTTCTTCCGTTGCTTCTTCCAGAATCTGGAAGGAAAATATTCACTGCTGAGAGCCATTGCCAAGTAGGAATGACGCATCGAAATTTCCTTGCCAGCGTACCCCATGTTGCTTAGAGGAAGGACTCTCCATTGTAGAAATGGACTTGTCTTAGACTCAGTCATTTGCAGTGACATTGCATGTATGCTTGAGTAAGGTGACCCTGCTCAAGGACCAGGGCGGATCGGGTTTAGGGTGGATCAGGTTTTAGGGAGTATCCCGCTCCTTGGGTTTAGGGCGGTTCCAGGTTTAAGGTGTACCCTGCTGCCTCAGGCACACCCGATCCTTGAGTTCTGTGGGATTCAGAAAGTATTTGGGATTCAAAGCCTGGTGGAGTACGTGAATTTTGGAGAAGAATGAGAAGAACATGGATTTCCCCCAGAACGTGTTTGTAGAGGGCCGGTGTGAGTTCGGGAATAAAGAATTGCTGTTTGAATCTACAAAGCTGTGAGTGGCTCGTGATTTTGTGCCCAGCCAGACTGCGGCAATTCACTATATCACTTCATAAAATTCAGTTCATTGAATACATTTTTAAATGGAATTAATGGCCATTTTCAGTCAATTAAAAAAAAAAAACCTGTTATCTCACATTAGTAAAACAAAATACAAAGAGAACTAGTTAGATACCTAGCAACACATGATATAAGGGAGACACAAGGTTTGAAGTTGAGAATAGAAATGAGAAAAACATCTCTCATTTTGCTCCTGTAACCTACTGGGTTTAGGTAATAGCTCTGTGAAAATAGAGTTCTTGCGGCTCCTAAGGACTCCTTTCCTCCAACAGGAGAAGATTCCACAGTATATGGAGCTCACAGATATAGTTAATAAAACAGGTAGAGAACAGACTAAGGCACCAAAATGAGTTTAGAGTTTTAGTATGAACATTTCTTGTTAGGCTAGTACTACCTTAATCCCTTGAAATTTACTTTAAAAACATTTTCCTTAGTTAAAAAAAAAAATTCAAATGGGGGTATATAGTTCAATTGTAGAATATGTGCCTACTATGCTCAAGGCCCTGGATTTGATCCCCAACATCAAATAAATAAATTAACTCAAACAAGACCCTATATTAAACTTGTTTTCAAGAGAAACAACACACTAATTTGACTATAATTGAAGTGATTTATCAGTGAAAAAATGAGGAAAACTGTGACCAATTAACCAATCTTATATAATTCTATTTCTCTCTACATGTTAAAGTCTCTGGAATTGGGATGTAACTTTTATGACATTAATTACAAGGATCATTCGTGCCTGGCAATATGAAACCATCAACTGATATATAAGATCTTATCAAGTCAAGTATCAAAACATCTCAGGGTCTACAAAAATGCTATTGTGCAAATTTACTTATTTATACAAATTTTCAAAAGATCAAACATTGAACACTAAATCTACTGAAAACCCATTTACTGGAGAAAAGCATTAAAGAACAAAAAAGATAAATCAACTCATTTTGCTTCTCTCTCTATAAATAAAGTGAGGCGTCTCTTCAGGAATTAAATCTGAAGAGTACTTACTGTGAACTTTCAATGATGGCAGACAGAGTATGTATCATCCACCTCCCTCCCTTTCAAAATGTTAACAAAATACAAAAACAACAACAAAAAGAAAACAAAGAAGGAGCTGGAGCAGATTTCAGATAGTAAACAAAAGGCAAACTCAAATACTGATTAATAAAAACTGATTTAAAAGAGACATATGGGCAAAAATAAAAATCTGACTGCAACTGCCCAGAATTATCAAATCACACCTTCAAACTTGAATAGCAAAGTAACATCCAGTTGAATAATAAAAACCAAAAACAAACAAAGGGGGAACAGGGGAAATGTTCCCAGACAAAATGAATAACTCAGAAGCTAGAAAGGATCTTTAAAATACTATTATTGCACCTATAAAAGAAGTGGATGCTGTAGCTGAATGCAGTGGTACACGACTATAATCCCAGCAACTTGGAGGCTTCAAAGCCAGCCTCAGCAACTTAGCAAGACCCTTACTTAGCACCTTACCAAGACTGTGGTTAATTAAACACCCCCTGGGTTCAATCCACAGTTCCCCCCCCCCAAAAAAAAACAAGAAGTGAATGCTGTCAAAGTGTAACAACCATAAGTACTTACAAATTAAAATTACCAGAGGCAAAACAGAAGGAAACTGAAAAATGCCAAGAAATTGAGGTCTGAAGTCATCCTACTGACTCATTTAAGGTCCTCCTTATTGACTTCTAACATACTTGCACCAGCTACACATACCTGAATTACTTTATAAACATTAAACACAGCCTAAGTGATCAGCCTCTATTAAAGGTATTTAAATGTGTTAATTCAGCTGAAACAGATACTTTTCATTCGATTAGAAATATTTCTCCAATATTAGAAATTTCATAGTTGATTCTTTTTTACAGTTTTAAGATAGACTGTTATCAAAACTACCAACAGAAATAATCCTACTGCAGAGTAATTTATTTTTAATATAAGTTTTTTGAAGTTACTTATATTTTAAAATGTTGAACTTACCCATCCAATGGCTTCAAACATTTTTAAATCAAGTGGATCACCAGAAAGCATTCCTTCAATTTTTGTAAGTGAATGACAGGTAGCCATACAAGCAACAAACTGAGATTTTACCAACATTTCATTGCAAACATTTTCTTCTGGTAAAAGAAATCTAAACAGAAAATACACTGAATTAGGTTCATAAATCCCTAGACTCAAGACAATATTCTAACAGGCAATTTCAGTTTTGTATTACTTTCAAGCCAGGTAAGGTGGCACATGCCTATAATCTCAGCTACTTGAGAAGCTCAGGCAGGAGGATCACAAATCTGAGATCAGCCTGGTCAAAACAGCAAGACTTCACTTAAAAAAAACAAAACAAAAACAAAACCCTTTTAAATTCAAGCTGGGCATAGTGGAACACATTTGTAATCCCAGTGACTCAGGAGGCTGAGGCAGGACAACTGCAAGTTCAAAGCCAGCCTAAGTAACTTAGTGAGACCCTGACTCAAAATTTAAAAAAAATATAAAGGGTTGGGGATACATGAGTTTGAGCCCCAGTGCAGGGGCTGGAGAAAGAGAGACAAACTTTTAAATCCAAAACTGATCTCCTAAGAAAGGGAAGTGTTCCAAGTGCCAGAAAAAGAGGGAAAGGAAAAGCGGAAGGTTGTGCACATGAGCTGATGCTGTGGCCCGTGAGGGAGGAAGCCATCTCTATACTCCAAGGACTTAGATTTTAATATAATACAGGAATAGGAAACAAAGCTATAGCCACATACAAAACAAAAGTGTCAGGAGAAATGAAGTAACACCTTCAAAATGATGAGAAAATAGAAATGACAACCTAGATACCTGTATAGTTACACAATCATTCAAGAGTGACAATGAAATAAAATCCACGAATGTAGTTGCATAAAATGATAACTTAATCCAGAGGAATGAAACTTTGTAAGATGGCAAATCTAAACATGCAGACTTTATAAAATCAAAATCATAAAACACTATGTAATAAATATACTTAAGAAAGGAGAGGAATAAGCAGGATAAAAGTAATCTATTGTCTGGGTTTTCAGAAGGCAGAAATGAAAAAAGAAATTAAGAACCAGCAGTAAAGATAAGGATGCATAAATTCCGAGAAAATGAGTGAAATAGGAGAAAATAAAAAAATATGCATATAACTTGGGATGAAGGATAGTAGAAATAATTTCAAATATATCTAAATATATTTATATGTAAATCGATAACAATAAGTACATCAAACACAATGACTGAAAAGCAAACAGATGGAGAAAGATATTTTAGGCAAGTGTTAGGCAAAAGAAAGCTGTGTGTAGCTACATAAATATTAAACGAAATAGAATTTAAGGTAATGTGTGTTACTGAGATAAACAAGCAAGAAGATACAACTCTTAAAATTACATAACCAAATAATACAGTCTGCCAAAATATATAAACCCAAATCTGGAAGATTTCTAAGGGGATTAAAAAATGATATGAGCACAACTATAGTACTAGAACTTCTGAGCTTCAAAAAAAAAGTAAATAGATGAGCCTAAGGGAATGTGCAATGCACAGTACTAAAAAAATTAATATAAAACCCAGAAAATACAAATGCCTTCTAACAATAAGGAAAAGAATAACCACACAAAAAGTTATAAATAGGTAACAAAGAGAATGACAAATGACTCTCCTCCCCAAAAATATGAAGATGCTTAACTTTGTAAGTAATGAGAAGAATGTAAATAAAGTAATAATAAATATCCATTTCATATCTGTTCATTCAGCTAAAATTACAAGTCCAACAAAACTAAACTTAAGCAAGGATATGCAGCAACGGGGAGAGTGTAATCTTCTTTATTGAGGGAGAGTATAAATAAGAACTACCATCACCAGGCAGAGAACAGGCAATATCTGGTAGCACAGCTGAAGCCAAATCCAGGCTACCACCTACAAGGATCTGCTTATGTAGACTCAGTCACATGTCACAAGCTGTGTCCAAGAATTTTAATTGTAGTATTATGGTTAAAGTGCAAGGAGAAAAAATGATATTGTCTTAGTAGAACAGACATTATGTTTAATTATATATCAGAATAATTTGATTCAAATTAATAAATTAGATCTACATATCAACATGAATAAATATTAAAAACAATCTAAAAGGCAGAAAAAGCTGCAAAAACACAGCATTCCACTCATGTATGTTTATTCAGATTATGTAGGTAATAAAAATATAAAATATACAAAAATAAAAATAATTTAAGAATGGTAGTAGCAACAGGGAAAGGGAGAGTGGGACTCTAATTTCTACACAATTTCTTTAATATTTTAATCTTTTAAAAGTAAATATAGCCAGGCACAGTGGTGCATGCCTATAGTCCCCATTGGCTAAGGAGGCTGAGGCAGGAGGATCACAAGTTCAAAGACAGCCTC